CCGAGGTGCTAGAGGAAGATCTGAATCGTTTAACTCTATCAGAACCAGGTTTGCATGTTCAGATTTCTTCATTCCTTCCTGTTTTTTTAGAGCTGCTCCAAACATGTGATCAACTGTTTTCAGGATCTCCTCAGAGGAAGGTGACGTCGCCAGAGAAGAGATTAGAGGCAGCACAGTGATATTCATCGACAAGGCGAGGAGGATGGCGGAGGCCTCTGGCGAAGGCGCCTGGAATTCGACATCCAATTCATTACAGGGCACTTTACTTCCTCTAATAAAGAGAAATACTGAGGAGGCATGCAGATTCTGACTATTATAGATCTACTTTTAACTGTTATAATTGAATAAGGAAGCTGCTGTGTAGCATGACACAAGCTGGAATGCTTTTAAAGGGGTTAAAGAATGTCTAGTGTTTGTTTTTATGTGGATGCTGGTCTTAGAGTTCTGTGCAATGAGCCAAGTGGCCTTTTGACCTCTGAAGATGAACCTGTGTAACAGAACATCATGCCAATGGATTCATTATAACCACGTTTGTTTGGCTCCCAGGGAGAGTTATCTCTAACAATTGAAAAGCGTATCCTAAGTGACTTTAACCAAATATGTTTATCAAAATAAAATTTATTTTAATCACTTGTCTGAAGATTTATTTATTATAGCAAGTAAAGATATGAAAAAAACTCTCTTTGTTTAGACTCATCCACGCTGCAAAAAGTGTGTTGACCTATAAGTGAGGGAGACAGGAAGTCATTTTAGGTTAGTTAAAGTTTTACAAACTGAATCACTGAATAGATTTGATATCTTTATTCTAATAAAAAAAAAACACTGATTGGAGAAATGTAAATATTTTATAATCACACCTCAAAGGATTCTAATTTGATTTTAAGTCATTTATAAAAAAATTAAACTAAATCATTTCAGTTTTTCTCAAATAAAAATGAAAAATCTGTGATCAACTAATATATTGGTTATTGGTTTTCTATTAATTGGTTAATCTTTTTTCTGCAAATTTTTTTAGGGAGGGTTTTGCTTTGCTTTTTTGTAGTTTTTTAATATAAATTTCACATGACAGAAATGTAGTTTATTTTACTCCATTATTCCGAGGTAAATAGAGGATTAACCTCTGTACTGCACTTTACAGTGAAAAAAATATGAAAACGATACTTTTAGTAAAATACTTTTTTTTTTTTACCAAATTAGTTGATTAATATTTTAATAATCATGACTAACCTGTTTATATTGGCCCTACCAGATTCTCAGTTGGATTTAGTTGTGAGTTTACCAAATGTTTTTTTCTTATTTTATTCCTGAAAAGGCCAGATTTATGAAAGTTCATGATTAACCTCCATCCTGTCAATGTGTTCTCACTAACTGTGGATCTCTGCAATTCCTCCAGAGGAACCATAAGCATCATGCTCATCCCGCCCAGATCGTAAGTGTCATAGTTAAGATAAAAAAAAGGAGCCAACTGACGAAAGATAAACAGTATTTTTGATCAGGTGTCTCTTCCTGATAGACAGAAATTATTAAAAGCTGCAAATCTTTCACTTATTCTCTGACCTCCCCTCCTTAGTGTGGCTGACGGGTTTCAGTGCCTGGATGATCCCAGAGGCTATGATGTTGGGGGCTTAAATGCCCCTGATAGGGTCTCCCAAGGCAAACAGGTTCTGGGTAGCAGATCAGACCACGAGTGGTTCACAAAGGCTCCATGATGACCTGACCCGGCCCAGCCCAAAGGAGACATATTTCAATGATTATGTCACACATGACTATTAGCTCCAAAATCCTTTTAGGCAAACCACAAAGAAATAATAATATTATTATACTATTTAAACTAGAGCAGAAACAATTAATCGCATTAATCGTGATTTATCGATTATTGAAATAATCGTCAAATAATTTATTAATCGATTAATCATTAACTGGAGTATAGAGACTGTAAAACATGCCTTTAATTGACAGAGCGACCCACTTAGAGCAGTAATTATGCAAAAATTGTAAAATACATATAAAACTTAAATCCAAGATAAATGTTTTCTGCACAATAGGAAAAATTGTAGTTCACCTGGTTTGATATTGTAATGAACGAATCTTTGGCTATACGATTAAACGATAAATCTAAAAAATAATCGACAAATCGATTCACCAGATAATCCTTACTTGCAGACCTAATTTAAATTAAACTAAAATCCAAAGACATGTAATAGTAAAATAAAAGAGACTAAATACTTGGCACAAATGTATAAATTGTGCAAAGTATTTTCAATACATTTTTTAAAAATCTCCGTTGCCACTAGGGAGTGCTGCAGCACCTCCACTTCCTGCGGCCATGCAACAAACCCAAAAAAGAAAAAGAGAGAGTTCCCTTTATGTACTGATTGTATTCTTTAATGACAAGTGACTTTATTGTGAAAAGCAGGCTATTAAGAGATTTAAATACCAACATTTTAGTGGTGCGAATAGGTACAGAGTGCATCAGGGCTGTTTTTTTTTTTCTCTCGGTTTCTTTAATCAACCATAAATTAAAAAGACCTCATTACAAATCGACAGCCTTTTAAAAAGTACAGTTAGTGATATCACAATATCCAGCAGTGTTTTAAAAATGCCCTTTGTGTGACAGACCCAATCCTCCCTTGTCCGTCGTCAGACGCACTCTCACGCTCCTCCTCGCTCAAACGCACACAAACCCTCCCAGTTCACCATATACACATATTGCATTAAAATATGTTCAGTGCTGCTTTCCTTCTATAAGCAAAGGAAAAGTTCAAACTTCGACTCCATAACTGGCGCGTTTCAGTTACATATATTGCAGCTTCTACCTACAGTCATGTGAATATACAGACATCAAGTTAAAACAAAGACATTTGGGGAGTAGTAGCTCGATTTCTTCACCTCTATCCTATGAAGCTGCTGACGTCTTGTTATATAGACTGTTGCTACTTCCAGCCGGGTACTGTTAAGGTGGAGCAAACCCAGATATGTAAAAGGTAACCTACAGCCAAGGCTACTTTCGTACAGCAGGCACTGACGCAGATATTTGGCTGAAAATTGGTTGTATGCACCACATAAAGCAGATCCACCAGAGGGTCTAAGCGAAAGCTCAGAAGGGAGTGTAACAGCAAAAACTAAAACTAAATTAAAGTAAATTTGGCATGCTTTACAGTAGTCCCTTCCTACTGTGGATGAACGGAACGTAAAGTGGAGCATTCGTTAAAAAAAGCAGGCTGCACAGTGGTTCAGGCTCTTTGCTCTTGTTGCAGGGTGATGGACGTACACTAGGGTCAGATGCATAAACCAAAACAATGCATATTTCATCTCCTGCACATTAGATGTGTGACTCACACGTCAAACCGGATGCATTAAACTTAAAAAACAAAAAGATGTGCTGGAAGACATTTGTTATTAAGAAAACAACCAAACATTGATGTTCTAATATTACTGTTGTACTGTTTGTTGCTTTGAAGTTACAGTGGATTAATGTTGCATAAGTATTAGATTATAATCCAGGTTCCATAACTGAGAATAAACACATACCCTTCATACTTGAACCCTTAAAAGGCTTATGAACCTGATATATTAAAAGTGCATCAGCGTAACATTTTAAAACGATTTAGATTCACCGACTGAAGCAGTGCCTTACATACGTATTCATACGCCTTGGAACTTTTTTACATTCGCATCACAACCTTCAGCCTGTTTTAATGACTTCTGTGCAAAGGGTGATTTAAATCCCATTATTGTGAGATTAAAAAGGAAAAATATAATCATTTAAAAAAACTTTCCATATAAAAGAAGGTTTTATGTTCATGTAATTGACTCTTATTTCTCTGATACCTCAAAAAATTCCAACGCATAATCCAAAAGTTCGACTATAACCAAGCTTTGAATATAGCACTAATGGTAACTATGGAGGAGCTGCAGAGATTCACAGCTCAGGTGGAGGAATCTGATGTCAAGACAACAACTTGGCCCCTGCTCTAAACACGAGGTATTTGTTAAAAGAAAGATGGTTGAAAACAGAAAGAAAAACAGAAAACAAACACTGCTGATCAACCTGAACACAGCACCGCCATAGTAAAGCATGGTGGAAGCTTGATGGAGCTGGATACAGTCCTCCTAGAGGAGAACCGAAGACCTCAGTGGAGTTTCATGTCTAGCAGCAGAACAACTTCACAACTATGAAGGTTTAAATAAAAAACAATGCATGTTTCCAATCAGTCTTGACTTGATTCCTTCAGATTCAATCTGCTGCGACTCAAAGATGGTCGCCATACATTTGTTCAGGTTTTAGTGTCTCGATGGGCACAGCTGGTAGAGAAACACCTGAAATTACCTGCAGCTCAAACTACACTAAAAAAAATGGTTCTCCAAAGAATCGACTACTTGAAGCCAAAAGTGTTTCTACAAAACTTTAAAAAACATACATCCTATTCCTTGATTCCAAAAAAGTTGAAAAACAATCCACTGGACTTTTTTTTCGAAGTTTGAAGATGTTTCGCTTCCCATTCAGGAAGCTTTTTCAATTCAAAATGTCAGAAATTTGGACCCCGCTCTGCTAATCTTTGACCTCTGGTATAAAGCCTCGAACTCAACGTAATTTCTGACATTTTGAATTGAAAAAGCTTCCTGGATGAGAAGCGAAACATCTTCAAACTTCGAAAAAAAAGTCCAGTGGATTGATTTTTTTTTAAACTTTTTTGGAATGACTATGACCTGGATGACTAAGAATCTTCACCAGAATAATATAATATCCTTTCCTTTCCTTCCTTCCTTCCTTCCTTCCTTCCTTCCTTCCTTCCTTCCTTCCTTCCTTCCTTCCTTCCTTCCTTCCTTCCTTCCTTCCTTCCTTCCTGCCTGCCTGCCTGCCTGCCTGCCTGCCTGCCTGCCTGCCTGCCTTCCTTCCTTCCTTCCTTCCTTCCTTCCTTCCTTCCTTCCTTCCTTCCTTCCTTCCTTCCTTCCTTCCTTCCTTCCTGCCTGCCTGCCTGCCTGCCTGCCTGCCTGCCTGCCTGCCTTCCTCCCTTCTTTCCTTCCTTCAAAATGATGCTCTGATTCTGCAGCAGTAAATTAGCTCCAAATAAACTGAAGTTTGTGGTTGAAACCAAACAGAATGTAGTAAAGTTTCAAGCAGTATGAGTATTTCGGCAAGGTTTATTATAAATCCAGCAAATGGACCGCATAAGCACGTTTCTGCCTTTGTGCTTATACTCTGTTTTAATCATAAAACGGAGTTTTATGCATCTGGCCCTAGATGAATGCGCAGCTGCAGTGTTAAACTGTCCTATCTGCTTCCGAGCGCTTCTGCACAACCTTGTGCTCCTTGACCTGGTCCACCGCCAGCGTCTCCAGCTCGGCCTGCGGCGGGGCGAGGGGCGGGGTGCCGTGCGGGATGCGGTGCGCCACGCCCACGTGGGCCCTGTACTGACGGTCCCGAGCGGGACTGTGTCGGGGACTGGCTGCCGCCCCCAGGGGAGGGACGGGGGAGTGGTCGGAGGCGATGGGGGGGAGGACGGGGAGCCGTTCACGCACCACCTGGTGCTCGGGCGATTCCCGGCCTGCCTGCAGGAAGGGCGTGGGGTCGGGCATGGCGTCCACCGGTTCCCTCAGGACCACCCGCCGCCCGTCCGGGCCGAGGCGGTACACCTCTGTGAGCTCTGGGTGGAGCGGCTGGGACAGGCTTTTCTTCATACGGCGGCGGGGGGTCTCAGGCTGCCTCTCTTTGGCAGGGGGGGGCGTTGGCTTGTATGAGCTGATGGGACTGACGTTAGGGCTCGCCTCGGAGGAACTCCCAGCAAAAAGCTTCTTCTTGGTGGCGTGAAGCTGAGAGGTGAGGTAAGCGATGGTGCTGGCCCTCTGCTCCAGCTCCCCGGACAACACGGCCAGCTTATGGCTCTTCATCTTCAGCTCCTCCAGGTACTTCTTCTCCCTCTCTTTGATGGTGTTCTCCAGGACGGAGATCATGGCGTTCTTTTGCTCCAGGTCTCTGAGCAGCTCCGTGTTCTCCTCCTCCTTCTTTTTAAGTTGGGCCTCCAGCTCCTCGCACCTCCTTTGCAGCTCCTTGCATCGCTCCTCGCTGCTGTCTGAACACACAGTAATGAACAACATCACAGCTGTTACACGTGTTTCATAAACACAACGTTTGAGACGCATGCAGAGTTTAGGCCGTGCATTAAGCTCAGACCGTCTGTCAGCTCACATAGAGACAGCCTGATCCCTCAGAGAGTCATGTGCGGTGCTTTACAGCTCCAGGCTCACATTACAGCTCCTACTAACTCTCATCTGATCTCCATCACAGCAGCTCCTACTTTACTGTAAAACACCAACAAAATGTGCTGCACTGTGTGCAAAAACTCTGCAGCAAAATGTTTAATACTCAAATGGAACTGGCAATATAAAATGTTTTTCATAGTTTTCAATCAAACGGTTAATGATGGGAAACATCGGTATAATTTTCCCCTCATGGACTCAGAAGGGGGGCTGGTGCACTCAGTCCTGTTGGTGCAGATGCAATGAGCCGGTTGGAGGCTGTGCATTAGCTCAGGGACAGATAATCTCATTTCCTGCTCTCCAATCTAAGAGATGTCCCACACTAACATGATAGTGAGACCGACTGGAGGCCCTAAAAGTATTGATCCCACACAGCTCTGTCAAAAACCTGACATCACGTCCTGATTCCATGCGGCACGCTTCATACTCAGACAGCTACATCAGCGTGGTTTAGTGGGAAGGGCTATCTGGGGAGTTCGAGTCAACATCAGAGACTCAAACGGTGGAGTTCTTCCTGGTTAAGACTTGTTAGCAGCCTGTCTGCTGACAGAGAAAGGTGACAGTAATGAAGCCTCTGTGGGGCAGAGCTTAGCTTCAGTATCTGCTAACAATGTGGATCAGATGCCTTAGTAAAATTTTGATTTTAAATTTATCTGACTTCTTTTTAGCAAAACAAGACCTAATCTAAAATGAATCAAATTAAAAGTTAACATTAATATTAGTACCTAATGATAGTTAATCAGAGATACACTGATTAAAATTATGCAATTGATTTATAATCTCCGATTTTTGAAATGCTTTGACTACACGGCCAATAAAAAAATCTCTACTAAGCTATAAGAACAAAGCAGTGTCACTATATTCTCAGCTTTCTAGGCATCTGTAATTATTACTGAGAGACAAATACACTGTAATCTAGGGAATCTTAGCTAAGTGTAGCTAGCATAACTATGGTAAACATTAGCCTCTTTTTTCTTTTTATTTCCTTTAAAATACAGATTCTTAAATAAACTCTGATATTTCTGAAAGGCTGACAATTTCTATAAAACTGAAAATTGCAAACTCCACAGAATTACAGAGAGCAACTGATCGTGCTCTGTTCAGCCTTCCTGTTATCAGCTGAATGTCTGGCTCTCTCTGTAGCTTGAGGACTGTTGCTTTAAATCCAGATTTAAAACTTGTTTAGAAAGGCCTTTGATTGTGATATCTGAACATTATTAGTTAGGTTTCAATTTTAACTTTCACTCCATTTTCTTCATCATTTAGTCTTTCTTTAAATGTATAAATAATTTTGTCTAAATGGACAGTGTATTATCTATTTTATTCCATATTGTCTTCTCTTTAAATATTACTGTTGCCTCTCAGCCATTGCAATGTAAATTTTTTCTCACGTAAAGCACTTTGAATTGTCTGACTACTTCCTTTTTACATTTACAGTCCGTGAAAAGAAAAATATTAGACTGCTATTCTTTTCCATTTTTGTTGCTTGTAATGTGTTTACTCATAATTTTAGAACAAGAAAGTGAAGAAAACATAGACGGTGTAAAGTTTTCCCAAGACATTTGATATATATGTATATATAAAACAGTAAAGTTGAGTCAAATCCATTAATAATAAATGGTATATCTATTTTTGTAGGAAATATCCATGAACATCCATCCATCCATCCATCCATCTTCCTCCGCTTATCCGGGGTCGGGTCGCGGGGGCAGCAGCTTAAGAAGGGAGGCCCAGACTTCCCTCTCCCCAGCCACTTCTTCCAGCTCTTCAGGAGGAACCCCAAGGCGTTCCCAGGCCAGCCGAGAAACATAGTCTCTCCAGCGTGTCCTGGGTCTTCCCCGGGGCCTCCCCCCGGTGGGACGTGCCCGGAACACCTCACCAGGGAGGCGTCCAGGAGGCATCCTAAACAGATGCCCAAGCCACCTCAACTGGCTCCTCTCGACGTGGAGGAGCAGCGGCTCTACTCCGAGTCCCTCCCGGATGACCGAGCTTCTCATCCTATCTCTAAGGGAGAGCCCAGCCACCCTACGGAGGAAACCCATTTCGGCCGCTTGTATCCGCGATCTCGTTCTTTCGGTCATGACCCAGAGTTCATGACCATAGATGAGGGTAGGAACGTAGATCGACCGGTAAATCGAGAGCTTCGCTTTTTGACTCAGCTCTCTCTTCACCACGACGGACCGGTACAGCGCCCGCTTCACGGCAGACGCTGCACCAATCCGCCTGTCGATCTCCCGCTCCCTTCTTCCCTCATTCGTGAACAAGATCCCAAGATACTTAAACTCCTCCACTTGGGGCAGGACACCCCCCCTGACCCGGAGAAGGCACTCTACCCTTTTCCGGCTCAAGACCATGGCCTCGGATTTGGAGGCACTGATCCCCATCCCGGCCGCTTCACACTCGGCTGCGAACCGATCCAGCGAGAGCTGCAGATCACGACTTGATGAAGCCAACAGGACCACATCATCTGCAAAAAGCAGAGACGCAATCCTAAGGCCACCAAAACGGATCCCCTCAACACCTTGGCTGCGCCTAGAAATTCTGTCCATGAAGGTAATGAACAGAATCGGTGACAAAGGGCAGCCCTGGCGGAGTCCAACTCTCACTGGAAACGAGCCCGACTTACTGCCGGCAATGCGGACCAGACTCTGACACCGGTCATACAGGGACCTGACAGCCCGTATCAAAGGGCCCGGTACCCCGTACTCCCGGAGAACCCCCCACAGGGCCCCCCGAGGGACACGGTCGAACGCCTTCTCCAAGTCCACAAAGCACATGTAGACTGGTTGGGCGAACTCCCATGCACCCTCCAGGACCCTGCTGAGGGTGTAGAGCTGGTCCAGCGTTCCACGACCAGGACGGAAACCACACTGGACGGAAACGGAATCCATGAACATGTCTTCCTTAAATTTGGGTTTAAATAATACATGCCTGATTCATTTAATCAAATGCAAATAAAGTAGGATTTGCTCTGCTGATGGCTCCCTATGACTGCCAGGATAATTGACACGATTTTTCTGGAAAATAAAGTAGTTAGATAAAATAAATAGAGCGTTGTAATTTAATTAATTAATAGATAACAAGATATAGATATAAGATATATATTGTGGCTTACCTGATGGATCAGAGCTCCGCACAGTGAGTTCATAGGTCAAGTCTAGAAACAAAGAAAATGATGTTGAAACAAAAAATGATGCAGCTGAGAGCTCCTCACTAACCAAGCTCACTGCATTTCCGGACTAAACAACTTTATGCTTTGTTTTGTTCATGAAACTGATCTCTAAAGTGGATGTTCTTACATCTATTTTGATCATTACTTAAAGGTATAGAGGAAGATCTTTTATTCACGGGTGGATCATCTAAATAAGAGGTCCTCCTAACTGTCAATCATTCTGCGGATATGTTTACGTAAGACTGTCCTATGTGCCCATCCCAGTTAGCTATCTTTTCCCGTGCATGCACACTTTCAGGCATATCTGTAGGGAGCTACGGTTTCAGACAGTCACTGAAGCTCACCTTTCTCACCGTGGTTCTTTGAAAATGGCCGAGGGTCGTAAGAGAAAAAGTGTCTACAAAGTGTATGAGAAGAAAAGAAAGGCCTCAGAAGAGGCAGATATATCCCAGAATGCTTTGCGCGGAGAGCTCTCCTCGCAAAGCATTATGGGATTTGCTGTCACAGCGGCCCGCCGTTGCCATAGGCTGTCGCTACCTGACAGACCCGACTAATATATAGTGATTGAGGGATTTAGGGGTTAGGACGGACGTTCGGACACAGTAAGCTTATATGAGCTATGAAAACAACAACTTTATACAGAGCATGCACGAAGAGAAATGGGCTTCTGCACGCTCTCGTACACGTCTAATAGGCGGTCCCGCTCAGGACCGGGTACAGGGTTGTGCATGTGGATTTCTTTTAAACTGGACAGGGCGGGTCTTTTAAAAAAATAGCAAAAATCCTCCACAATCCCTTTAAATGCTGGGCAGAGCCATTATCTTATAAGACCTTTTCACATGAAGATATCAGATACCGTTTTATTTTAAACAATATCTGATGACTCAGATATTGTTTAAACCTGTGGTACAAATACCCGATATACGCTTTGACTCTTTTTTCTGTTTCAAAATGTTGATACTTTGAAAATGTGTCTAAAATTTGCTGATTCCCCAGAGAAACATGAAAAGCTGAAGTTTTTTGCAGGAGCTCACCCGTGCATTGCTGCTGTAGCCTGCGGATCTCAGCATGAAGCCCCTTCAGTGTGTTCGCGTGGTCCTGCTGCAGAAAGAGCAGGTTCTTCTGAGCGCTGTGCAACTGATTCTCCAACGTCACGTTTGCTGAGGCCATGGTGATATATGTCTGGATTTATTCCACCCTTAAAACTGAGAAGACAGAGAAGGCAAAGCGATAGAGGGAAAAATGAAGACGAACATCATATTCCAGCACACAATAACTGGAATTCTTACAGTTTGTTGTGTATGACGTCCAAAGTATGCAGCATTAAATAAAGCCAGTAATTAAAGACATATTATGTGTTGTTTTAGAAACAGCTCAGACTAAAACTTTTTTTTAAATCCATCCATTTATGTAAGCATATCTAGTAAGCCCTTCGTAGTAGCTAAATCTGTTGATGAGGGGGTCGCTAACATGGTGCCTGTGGGCTTCAGGTAGCCCTAATGGACAACATGAGGCTACAAGCCAACTCTAAAATAGCCCAACCTACCAATGAAACAGAATCTAGAATTTTTTTTTATCACTGTTACTACTCTTTTCATCACAATTGCATTAATATCGGCTTTAAGATGTCAATATCTAATATCTTAATTGGTTTAGGGCCTGATTTTTTAAGCCGATGTTGTTTTTTTCTTCTTCTTTTATACGAAAAAATTGACAAAAATCATAACAGTTACACAAGTCTCAATTTAAACAAACAAAAAAGTGATTCAAGAACAGATCAAAGAAAACGGAGCGGCAATGCATGCACCTCACTTGGCTGCAGAATGGGCAAATTAATCTGCCAGAAAGAGAAAATCTAAAATTGGAAAGCAAAAGGCTGATGAAAAATATGTTTATTATACAAGTTTAAGTGAACACAGCCTGTTTCAGTACTGGCAGCTCTTCATATTACTCAGTATTCATGAAGAAAGAGTTTTCCTGCCCTCAAAGTTTTACTACAGGAATCATGGTCGGGACTAAGATGATCTGGACAGAAGGTTGGTTTTTAGTTTATTCCGTTTGTTCGATCATTTCGCCATGGTTTCGATCCTCATTGGAACCAAAAGGTGACCCCTTTTCAGTTTCTTGGTATGTCCAACAGATGTTTGTTTAAAATCTCCAGGTATAATCATTTAGAGAAAAAAAGCCTCATTGTATCAAACCTATAATCATCAGTAGGAACTGGCTACATCTCTGCTCATTCATCCTTTGTTTAAAATCATAGGAAAGCAGCCGTTCCAATCGTTGCATTTCCAAATTCTCCCGAGTGGTGCCCGACTTAACATGATTGAATAAAGTGAATGTGATTTGTCTTTTATCTAGGGGGCGGGATTGTTGTGGCAGAAGGTTTGCAAACTAGTTTGGTTGTGGCCGGTTTGTCGGAAGCATCTTGCTAACCAGTTAGCAACTTAGTGCTAGTAGGTTCCCAATGGGAAATTCCATTGGGACCAAGTAGCACTAAATTGGTGACTTAGAAACGACACTGTCAAGGAACGCTATGGACAGAGGAAACATGCAAGAGGAGGAGAGTTTAGTGTCGGAGGTCGTGGATGAGTCTCCTACATCATCCATTTTATATTTAGAGGAGGAAAGCGGGGACGGTAAAGTAAATGATTCTTATTTCTTATTTCAACTGTGACATGTGAATCAATGACCCAAAAAATGTGATTGACAGATGAATGTTGATATATGATTGGCCGAATTTAGGTGTTCAGGCTGACGTATAACTAACTGGCCTGCATAAGATAATGAAAGAAAAAAACACAGATTTTTACACAGGATTTTTTTTCTATATTTTGGGAAAATATCGTCTGGAAAAAAAGTACATTTGTATAGATGTTTAAGCCAGAATGATTTGACATTTAAATATGATTTCCCTACGACTTTAAAGTTCAGAGCTAAAACATTTTTATCAAAAGGATTTATTAAAAAATAGAAAATCTTCCATACAGTCTAAAGTAGGGCAAAGAAAAAGTATTAATTTTGCTATATTACTATACAAATTAGGGCTGCAAGTAATTATTATTTTACAAATTGATTAATCTGCGGATAATTTTTTTAGATTTATAATCAGATAGGTTCCTTCATGAAGAATTTTTCTAAATGACACCAGGTGAACTAAAACTTTTCCACTTGAGGAGTTCTGGATACAACATGTTGAAAGGAGACATTTTTTTTTTATCTTAAATTCAGAATGTTTATATATATATATTTTTTTAAATGTTGATAGAATTACTGCTCTACGTGGGTCGCTCTGTTAGCTGAAGGCATGTTTTAGAGTCTCTGCAATCCAGGTAACGATTAATCAATTACTAAATTAGCTGACAATTGTTTCAGTAATTGTTTAATCACAATTCATCTGATTCATTGTTTCGGCCTTAATATAAATAATTGTTTATAACTTTTGACAGATAATTGTTTATTTCTACCAGATCCTAGTAGCTCTAAATCAAACTAACTTCTTCTTGGTTTTAGATTTCTCCGATTTAAGCGGACAGGTCAAGCTTCTGAGCGTTGGTGACGAATTAAAGAAGCACAGGAGCCATTTTCCTGGTAGGTTAGATTTCTGCTTATGCTAACCAAAGGGCAGTTTTCATATTTGCTTCATATTTGTCTTCTAAAACTATTTAGTCTGTTTTAGCTGGGAAAAAAAACCCTCAATTTCTTTTTTGAAAAACAAGCAAAAGGATGTGATTTGTGCCTTTGTGGCTGAGGAAGAAAATTGATATCCCAACTCCCAAACCAAACTGGAAACCTGTCAAACAGCAACACAGTCAAATACCAACATGCTGCTGCTTGGAACAATACAATATTTCATTGAGTTCTTTAGAAATTAGACGTTTTCTTTGGGAACAGTAATAACACAGAAGGCACATCCTGTGGAAAACAATATCAGCAGCAATAAATGTGCCGCTCTAACCGTGTTTTTATGTCTTATCCATTGATGCAGTGTTTCCAGCTCTGTGTGGCATTTAGCATCCTGGGGACTATGATCTGTGTCAGGTTTTGGAATGTGATGCAGTAAAAATTCACCCAGAAATTTCCCCCCAGTCAGTTAAAGTGGGAGTAAATGATCTGAAGAACATAACAGCCAATGATGATTTGTTAGTGACTCATCGTTTAGATGCTAAAATGACAAATTGTGATGTTAATGCTCACACTGACGGAACATCTGATCCAGTAACCATCCCATGAGTAACAAACCCCCCCCCCCCAGCTTTATGCACTGATACATATGATGATGACACTGGGTGGGGCAGGTCAGTCTGAAACAAAAAAAAAAATCCTCCTCCGTCATGCTCCACCTTTCTCCCTCCTTCACTGGGCCACGGACAGACACAATCACTCAGTCTAACAACCAAGGGATAAAAGCACATTGATCCCTGCACACCCCCCCCCCCCCCCCCCAAACACACACACACACACTTATAACACCAGCTCACTAACATGAATAATTAATCTTAAGACTCCTGACTGAGCAGGCTCCCTGGTTTCAGCAGAAACGTCTCCCTTTTCATGACTTGCTGGGGAAAAGTAAAAAAAAAAAAGAGAGTGCCAACACCAAAACACAGACTGTTTAGAACAAACACAGCCAGCGGTGTGTGATAAAGGCTGAGGGGATAATCTATAATTGATGAGTAATGTGGAGTCCTTCCGGTAAACCCTGCGCTGCGAGCATATCTCTCATCCCGGCTCTTTCCTAGAATAGCTCAGAAAGCTTTCCACTTGCAAAGACGTGACCTCAGACAACTTCCCCATCGACGTGGCTCATAAAGCATAATGCAGCATGGCGGACACAGAAAAAAAAAACACGCTAACTGAACCCTTTTCATAAAACCTATAAAAAAAAAGTTAACTCTAGATTTTATTTGAATTATCCTTCTTATTATGATTATTCATAAACACACCCATCAGTATTTTCCCAAACTGAGATCAATGTTGAATAATATATGAGCTGCAGCAGCATGAAACATTAGGAAGAAGCTTCCATCCTACGGCAATGAAAGACCATCACAGAAACATTGTCTAGTCCAGCACTAAAATACCAACAATTCAATGCATGGGCTGCGCTTCATAGAGTTTACACAAAGACAAAAGATTATAACTTGATTTAAAAGCTAAACATTTGTTAATTTGGCTTAGATTCAGGCACATTATGCAAAAACAGTGAGTAAACACCTGCTGCAAGTGGCAAAGGGTGATCTTTAAGGGCAGATTATACTTCTGCAAACGCACACATCAAATGTTACTTGGGTCTGGTCGTGAACCAGTTTTGCTGGTTTGCTTCTGCACCATCTGCAATTTCTAGCTACGCACAGCAGTTTCCTCCCAAAGAGCAAGGGGGAGCCTATTCGAGGACTTGGGTGGATGGTCACGAGAACTTCGGTGGCGCCGGCGGGAGTGATTATTTTCCAAAAGAACAATGGCATGTCTGCAAGATATCACAGTCACGGACATGGATCTAGAGTTGCTAGACATCGAAGAGAAACAGGTTCTGTTAATGGAGTTGGCAAAAAGACCGATTAACCTTTCATCGTAGTTGTCCATTGTAGTTGTTCCTCGGTTTTTAAAAATCGCGCACCCTGGCACCGAATCGAGAAGGACGACCACACAGACAGCCGGAAAAGCATACCAAGGACCAATCACAGCTGCTTTTTGTCTGCGCATTTACACTTGAGGTCTGCGCAGGTTTGCAACCGTCTGATGTGTAGTCAGGATTTTTTTGAGGTGCACGACGACGGTTGCAGAACCTCTGCGCGGGGGAGCATGGTCGCACACAGAGACGGATTTCATGGTTGCAGAGGCTATGAGTCAGAAGCATAAAAAAGCCTTTAGTCTTCAGATCAGGATGGGGTTTTTTGTGACCATATTTAGAAGAATTTGGTTTTATTATAAACAAAGGGAATTGGAGCGAGCTCTCTTTCAGCCAGCTCACATAAACGCTTAACAACATCCACCCTCAGTGAAACCCCTTAAACAAATTTGACAGTTTAGAATCAGTAATTTTCTTCAAACCTTGATATACAGTAACTTGATGCCTTCAGCTGGTCCTTCCTAAAACACCAATCAATATCTGCCTCCAAAGAGAATCCAAATAATAAAAGTAGCTACCGCCCTAAGCCAAGAGAAAACCTTCATGGTATCTTCCTCAGTTTTTGTACAGCAATGTTTAAGAGCAATGCCCTTTCTCTTTCCATCCTAATATATCAATAGACAGCTTTGTAGTCCAAGGTATAAGGGAGCAGAGATGCAATTTAGGACTTAAAGGTTAGCAAGAAGCCCTCAAAATGTTTCATTTCTTACACAGAATAAAGATCTTTATGCATTAAATCTTTAGTTAGTTATTCCAGATTTCATAAAGGTTCAAAATATTCCGTTATTTAAAATTTAAGTACTTAATAACTTTAATATACATGTGGTGTGAAAATTTTACTAGCATATGAGTTTTATATTTGTAAATTAAATTATTTGTTTTTGCTGCTTTTGTCTGTGTTTACTCATTTCAATCCTGCAAAACTAATCAAAACTAAATTAAACCCTGTTAACAAACTCTACCGACTCTTTAGGACACAGCTTTCTAAACAAAGAATCAGCTCCACCGTTATTTTACATTAGTCACAGGAAAGCGGCTGTTCCAGATGTTGCATTTCTGAATTCTCCCGAATGGGGATCGACTTTACACAAGTGAATAAAGTGAATGTGATTGGTCAAATTATCAAGGTAGCGGGACCGGTTTGTCAGGAGCATCTTGCTAACCAGTTAGCAACTTAGTGCTAGTAGGTTCACAATGGGAAATTCCATTGGGACCAAGTAGCACTAAATTGGTGACTTAGAAACTACACTGTCAAGGAACGCTATGGACAGCGGAAACATGCAAGAAGAGGAGAGTTTAGTGTCGGAGGTCATGGATGAGTCTCCTCCATCATACATTTTTTATTTAGAGGAGGAAAGATGTTGTGGAAGAGGACGCCAGGGCGGCAGAAGCTTGGTTTGGTGTAGAAGGCTTCCAGCTGTACATGTTTGAGCCCTTGCCTCGCAACGCTGCCAGTTCTGTTAGCTCTACGCCTGCTGAAGACACAGACGTCCATCCACGTGAACACTGGGACGCAACTCAATGGGAAAGGAAATAATTCTTATTTATTATTTCAACCATTGTGTATATCAGCTGCGACATATGAATCAAGATGCTATGACCAAAAAAATTGATTGACAGATGGCGTTGGTATATGATTGACCGAATTTAGGTGTACAGGCTGATGTAGAACTAACTGGCCTGCATAAGATAATGGGGGAAAAAAACACAGATTTGAAGTTTTAATTTTCTAAGTATTGGGAGAATATGGTCTGATAAAAAGTACATTTAAATACATGTTTAAGCAAAAATGATTTGACATTCAAATATGACTTCCCTAAGACTTAAAAAAAATAATAATAATTTGGGCCCCCAATTCAAATTCTGCTAAGGGGCCCCATTTAATCTAGGGCCGGCTCTGCTCATATATAACCAAACTCCCCAAATCCTGACCATTACAGTAACATTCAGAATGTTAAAAGAAGAGTAGTACACCCATAACAGATATTCCTTGTAGCTATAATGAGGTGAAAACATCTGGAGGGGGTTGGCAGGCATGCCTGACACTTTAGATTTCAGCACCTGCATTGCGGACAGCACCCTGCATATAAAACCTCAGCTGCTGCTGACAGAAACAATCAGAGATCATTGCTTTCCATCAGCACTACTGTCAACTTTACACATGCAACAGTCAGGACTGATCCACTGCTGTTATCACATAATATATAAACGGAAACCTTTATAATAATCTAAATGTGTCTGCATGCATCATCACAAAGGATGGCCCTGCTTCCAGGAGAACCTGTCCGGTATAAGGAGGGTTGGTTCTGTGCAGGAGGAAGGAGGTGCCGATCATAAAATACACGTTCTGGATTGTTCTGAAAATGCGTCACCTCCCAGAAAACAGGGCATGCTTTTTATTGACGCTTTGCACCACCGGCGGAGAGACAAGCGTATTTAAAATGATTTAAACATTTAAAATACAATTTACGCCTAGATAATAACCGATATAATCTACAAACCAAGCCGGTTTTAATCTCCAATCCCACTTAAACTGTCACATTTTGATGAGAATAATCATTTATCTTTTGGATTAGGTCAATGAATGAATCTATGATGTAGCCTAGCTAAAAAGCTAAGGACGCCGAAACGTTAATAGTGTTTATATTAAAGCTTACCTTTCAGATACAAATAGTTGGCCTCCGAGGAGCATCTAAAATCTACTAAACACAGGATGAAGGGGCTAGCCTTAGCGGCTAAGCGCAGTCCACCTTGCAGGGCATGTCGGTGATGCTGCCTGTCGGATCTCCCTGAGCTACTAGACAAAATAAAGCGATGCACCATGGGAAGCCAGAGCAAATGACCGACCTAAACGTTTACACCCTGGATCTCTCTGTCTCTCAGCTGATCATATTTATTATAAATACAAGTTCAGTTTTTCAAGAAGTTTATTAGAGAAAAAAAAAAAAGCAAAACAAAAGCAATTACTGACCTTAAATGACATAAACTGCGCAGGTAGCAGCAGGTGCACTCGCCGTTATGCGTTTATGAGCGTCATCACCATGGTAACGGAACAAGGAAGTATTTCCGCCACCTAGCGGTACGGTCGTGAAATTGCATTGCAGTTTATATTTTCTTTGGAAAGGTAGAATAAACAATTATTTACATAATGTTTTTATATATTTATATACATTATATATATATATATATATATATATATATATATATATATATATATATATATATATATATATATATATATATATATATATATAGATATATATATATATATATATATATATATATATATATATATATATATATATATATATATATATATATAAAATAATGATAATAATATACTAATAAAAATATAACATTATATATATATAATATGTATTACATTAATATATATTAATTATATTTAAATAAGGGAATGTAAGAATGGGAAAGTTGCAAGGTACCTTATAGACAGCAGAGGGCAGTGTTGCTATTCACTGGATAGCCAGGGAGCTTTTAAAAAAAAACTTAGTTCTCATTCTTGCCATTCACACTTTCACAGTCTAAAAAGCAAAGAAAAGTTGCAATAAGAGATTTTCTGGAAAAAAAAAAGAAAAGAAAAACACTTTATCAAAATAAACAAAATAACAAATAAAACAACAAAAAACACAAAATAAAATATATGATAATTTGAAAATAGTAAATGCAATGTTCTGAGAAAGACATCAAATGCATATTTTTCTGGAAAATAGCTAATTATGATTATTAATATATAAAATAAAATAATAGAGGATCCGGGTTTAATTCCTGGCCCAGGGTCCTTGTGCATAGGCACCGGCCCCACGACAATCCTGATAAGGACTAAGCAGAAGATGGATGGATCGATCTGTGAATATTCATAATTCATAAATATATCTAAAAAAAACGTGACATATTTAGATTCCGATGCCACTTAAAGCTGAGAAAAAATATACCTTTTTCATGTTCAAGATCCCAAATCCCAGATCTTTGTTAGCTGGGCCTCACTTAGGTTTGCAACTAAAATAAGTTGTAAATAGTTCAATATCCCTAAAAAGACTTAAATTAGAATACATATCAAAAGATATAGGGATTTAACTGTGTTATAGATTATATTTACAAAAGGTTTTGAACTTAGAGATATGGATGATAAAATATTATTAAGACACCTACCAAATGATCTTTTAAGAACTCTGAAATTCTTTGAGGTTCTGAGTCTGGGGATTATAAACTCAGAAAACTTATTTCTGGCCAAAGAAAATCTATGAGAAGCAGCTACTGTGTAAAATGATACAAACTAAAAACAAAGCATTGGATTTCAATTTCCAACCTCAGAATGAACCTCACATGTGCAGATATAGGCTATTTGAGTAAATGGAATTATTCTCCACCGCCAGAAATGTTATTTTTCTAAACTGACTTTTAATCTCTCTCTGTTTTTGTCCTGTTTGCTGTAGGGATGAAATTATTTTTGATTTCCTTAGCTTTAGTGTTTCTGGCAAATTTTCCGGCTTCCAAAGAATTAGTAAGCAAGATAGTCGTCCTTACTCAAGTAGAAAGATCCAATAGAGACTCTTTGCCCAGGGCCGGCCCAAGCCACTTGGGGGCCCTAAGCTGATTTGATTTCGGGATCCCCCTCCCACCACGCAGAATCACCTACGCTAGAATATTATTGACATAAATGTCAGACTATAATGTTATACCGAATATTATAAATGAATACAGTTAGGTTGGGTATTGATACAAAATAAATAAATATTACCTAAAATTCCTTAATTCTTTTATTAAAACTTCTAAATTCAAACTGTCAGAAAACATATCAAATAAATTATTTGCAAATGTGCAATCTTTTAAATAAAACCAAAATAGACAAACATTAATATAATCAAAAATAGAATATTACAAAAAAAAGATACTTAAGTAATGAAAGCAAACATTAGAACAGCAAGGGTTCAACAATGACAATTGTACAACATTGACCTCAAAATTGTTCCTTCCTATCTTTTCTGGAGGCAAAGTCACTGATGACATCATTGAATGGTATTGCTTGGCCAACTTTGTTATTAATACTAATGGCGGCAAGTCAACTTAGTCTTTCCTGAGCCTTTGATATCAAATATGTTTTTATCAACTTGAGCTTAGAATAACCCTGGTCAATCGTTTTTGGGCCCCCCCTGCTTGGGGCCCCCTGGTCACCAGGAGGCTCCAAGCAGCCGCTTAGTTCGCTTATGCCTCCGGCCGGCCCTGGCTTTGCCTATAGAGAGTTTTTCATACAGCCTGCTGTCTTCATTTATCATAACATGTAGTATGGAGGTCAACAACAGGGGGTTTCGACACCTAGGGAGACCAGACGTCCTCTTTTTCCAGGACATGTCCTACTTTTCAAAATTTCAAAATCGTCTGGGATTTTGGTCTACTACAGTGCAGCACGTAGTCAAAACACACTGGGCATTCAAACCGAACCGTCAGCTCCAGGGCTGGTCCCCAGCGGATTGGGGCGGAGCGACCGAACCCGACCCGGTGATGGTAGCCTGGACACAGGCGGCCCCCTGCTTCCATCCCACCCTATCTGCGCCCCCTAGGGGGTCCACAGAGGTACTGCATGGGGGTTGCAAAAGTTTTGGTTGATTATACTTTTTTTTTTTATATTCCCCCTTGCAAGTTTTTCCATAAATGTTTTAAATCCAAATTAACATGAATTCAACACACTGTAGTAAACAGATAAATGGAGGCAGAAGATGTCTTTCAGTCATCAATGCACACATTCAGAGACACACAGGAGCTCTTTCAAGCTGGGCACCATTTCATTCACAACACCTGTCCCATCAACCGGGATTCAGAATCCTACTTTAATAATCCCAGGGAGAAATTACTTTCATTACTTTACTCCATCTGTAATAGAGTGACTATAGGACCAGTTTGATATAAAAAACAATTTCATACAATATATATAATTAGGAGGTCCCTACTCCGTCTTGCCATCAGTTTGGAAAACGCTGAAGACCCCTGATGTAGTAAAATAGCTTAATCAGAGGAACTCCAAAAATAAAGATCTGGTGCTCCAGTGTAATGTTTTATATTTATTGTTTTCTTGGCCTCTATTTAAAGGATATCAAGCTCAGGTTAAAATAAAGATGGTGAATCTTCATATTTCACACACGCACCAACAGACCTAACGCACTAACAATCTGGCAGCACCCAATCAACCCAAGAGCCTGTTCTTGGTTTTAATTCCATATTTTATGTAGAAACCTATAAAATGCTTTCTTTCAAACACAGACATGAATTCAAAAATACATGAAGCCATGTGGTGAGGGTGCTGGACACATACTGATGGAAAACCAATAAGAGTGAGGTGTTATTTTTTTTGTTTTTCAAACTTCTTGGCACTCATCACCCTTGCTGAGATCAAACAGGGGATTTATGTCGTTCTCTAAATGCGTCTCTAGCCATTGGATTTCAAACAGAACTTTTTTACAGGAGCACAAATGAAACGCGGGCTCATGGCAGCTCGTCACATACAGGACTGTCGAGCTGCCAGCACAAACACTTCTTAGGTTGTAATAGTTTTACTGTTTTCATATTAAGGCTGGCAACCTTGGAAACCCAATTTAGTTTTCCAACGCTCTTTATTTTACTAGCGTCTACATATAGAAATACGTTGCCATAGAGTTACTGTATGTGGTTAAAGCTTGTGTGTGGCATAGTCTTCAATATGTTAGCAAGTTTCAGATGAAGAAACTAAGATTTTTTTCTGTAATCACTCTCTCAAATTTCTTTTTTTTTTTGCTTTTTGCATAAAGACTTCAGGTTGTATTTTAATGGGTTTTCTCTTACTTGCCAGCTTGAACATAGAAAAAATACCCAGGGCATTTGGTCCAGCATGAATGGTTCACCTCAAGCAGAAGAGTTTCCGAAGTTCATCTATTGACCCATTTCTTGATGCAGACAGATTAGACATGTATTCATATGTAACGGATAACAGGATGTGTTATTATTGGTCTGTTCCTGTTTGGCGGTGACTTCATCCTGGAGGGAAATATCAGCTGGGCTTCTGCAATCAACACCTTCAATTATAGATGTTACAGTTTGGCCTGTTTTTCAGTGTTCAGTCCTGTTTCTGTCATAGACATAGCTATGAGCTCAGATTTTACTGTGGCTTACTGAATGTGGACCCTGTCGTCCAGACAGATGGGGGGCCAGGGACGGAACACTGGGATAGAACTCAATGGTAAAGTTAATGATTGTTATTTCTTATTTCAACTGTTGCGTATATTAGCTTCGACATATGAATCAAGATGCTATGACCAAAAAAATTTAATTGACAGATGGCCGTTTATATATGATTGGACGAATTTAGGTGTTTGGGCTGACATATAACTAACTGGCCTGCATAAAATAATGAGAAAAAACCCCACAGATTTTAAGTTTTCATTTTCAACCTTTTGGGACAATATCGTCTGATAAAGATTACATTTCTATACATGTTTAAGCCAGAATGATTTGACATTTAAATATGACTTCCCTACAACTTAAAACATCCAGACTACAATGGAAAGGTTTGAATCTAAGCTTGTTCATCTAATAAAATTGACCAGTGAAGCATGTCAGTCTAATACATTTTCTTTGGTAAAGGCTTTGTTGTCGGAAAATTTTTATCTTTCTTCTATTATATATTAATCTATCCTATTTACTCACTATAAAAGTTTTCACTCAGTCTGTTTCTCTCTCAAGGCCACACAATTCTCTCCAGGCTGGTGTTTGTAGACCAGGCATAGCTTCTTCCCATAACCAACTAGATTCTTTCTCAAGGTTTATTCATAACATGTT